CCTATCAGTGCCATGCCCTTTAATCTTTCTTTTTTTGTGAGGACCTAGTCCAAAAAGCTATCTCTAAGCAATTCTAATTTTAATTACTTTTATATTCTTTGTATACTCCATTAGCACACAAGATGTATAATATGATATCACATGATATGCAATAATATCAAAGAGACAAAATTATTAGTGTATGAATATTTCTATCCTTTTCACTCTGGTCTGCTAACGAGTGAATGATTATTGATTTTATAGCTTAGATTCGTTCCCCTATCACCCCCAGGAGGCTTTTCCCCAGCAAGATTATTTCTTTTAGTTTTCTAAAGCAAAATTTGAAGGAAATGAGAAGAAAGACAACATGAGTGCAGTGATGATCAGAGATAGACTTCTGGAGAAGATTCGGTGGGAAGGACACCAGGGAAATCATGTGGTGAAAGGTCACTGATCAAAAAGAAAATTTAAGAGTATTACTGTGAATCATGAATACTTTCCTCAAAATTTAAGGAACACAAGTAAGAATATAAGCAATACTGGAATTCCTTTATGATTGTTATGCAATGCAACTTTAACCATGATTTCACTTTAGCATGATTTCCATGGAGTTATATAATTAAAAATAAGATATATATATACACACACACACACACACACACACACACACACATACCTGTTGTCTTGCAAATATTTATAAGCAGTCATGCGTGTTCCTCATAGAAAGCTTCTGAAACAGTATATTTGTCACAGTTTTATGTTGCACAGTTCAATGCTTAATAGACTTAACCTTCTGAAGGGCTTAGAGTCTATGGACCAAAAGATTATGGCACCACAAATTGAGACTTCTTGCTAAAAATAATAAAATATGATTGAAAATGGAAGCCCATAGTACAGTCATGGTCATATTGACTCAAAAGGAAGAATAGTCCTGGTGAAGACCTGCCTAAATCCAAATAAAAGGTTCTAGAAACATGTCCCATTGACCATCTGGATTGTGGTCTGACAAATTCCCTGTATCTCATATGGAGCTGGCTGACTGCCTCTGGTTCCTGCAATGCTAGTCTTTCTGCCTTTCCATGGAGGAGAAATCGTGTGTCAGAAATGTTAATGAGAGGAAGTCAGTGAGTTCTTCTGAAGCCCTGCTTTTCCTTCAGTGTCCTTCAGTCTCCAAATTTGGCTGCAAAGGATTTCCTCACAGAAAATTCTTAGCATATAGCCATTTAAATCACAGTTGTCACTAAGACATCAAGACGTCTATTTCCAGAGCAGAAATCAAAGCTGACTGTACCTTCCTGCCCTGAGCTGTGTTGGAGCAACACTCACAATTCCTAGTCCAAAGCCTTGTAATGACAGCAGTCTAGTTGGTGTTTACTGAGTGCTTTCTGTCCCAGGTGCATGCCTGGAGAATCACCCATGCTTTCTCAGTTGGTTTTCATGGAATCACCTCATGGGGAAGTAGATCATCTTCATTTTATAGACAAAGAAACCAGAAGCTTAGAATCTAAGGGACCATGAGCCACAGTGGTCCCTTAGACACCACTTCTCACTTGGAAGCAAGCCATCTGCTGAAGCTGAGGGTGATGAGGCCAATTTTGTCAGGCTCACATGTGTAACTCTTGCCTTGCTGTGTTCAGAGAGAGGTCATTGAAAACTTACAGTAGGATCAATAGCTTAGATTTTCTGTTATGTATAATCAGGGACTACTGTTTTTCTGTTTTTGTTCTTGTTTTAATTTGGTGTGATGCTATCATCTGAAGGTATTCTCCGAAATTTCCAAAACTAAAACTTAATTGACAATATTAGAGTATTAAGAGGTGGGGCCTTGGTGGGGGGGGTGATGACAAATGAAATTAATTTCTTATAAAAGGGGATGAAGTTCTCTATCCTCTTGGGCCCCTTCTGTGACAAAGCAAGGTGTTATCTTTGAAGCAGAGAATTAGTCCTCACCAGATACCGAATCTGCTAGTACCTTGATCTGAACTTCCCAGCCTCCATGAATAGATTTCCATTATTGATAACTTATCCTCTCTAAGATGTTTTGTTACGGTTGCCTGAATAGACTAAGACGGATAATGTGATGGAAAAGGATTGGGAAATGATGTGCTGAAAAAGGTGTGCGAGGGATATTCTTCTGACAAATTCAGAGAATCTGGTATGAATCTAGATCACTTTTCCACGCTGGAAATGAAGGGTAGAGATGGGGAAGCAGCTGAATCTGAAAGCCCCTCAGCTTCTCATCAACTGACTTGAGAATTGAGACAGGCAGTAGACAGGTGGTACAGACCAGGGACAGCACGAGAAGACAAGGCACAGTAGTCACATGACTCTAGTTTTTTGTTTATACCTGGACAGAGGTGGGAAGGGGGTGCCTAAACAATGATAAGAACACAAGAGTGGGTGGAGGAAGGAGCACCCCTGACTGGTGTTAGTGAGCAGTTGTTCTAGCCACACGGCTTGGTTCTTCCTACTACAGTTTGATGAGCAGGGGGATGCACAGCAGATTTGGGACTGAGATTCCGACTTCTGATAGGAGTATGCAGTCAACAAGGCCTACTTTAACTCCTTCTGAAGGTTTGAGACTGGCCTGCTGAGTCCAACTTCATGTAGTAAAAAATCAACACTGAATTACTATAACAAAACACCACCGTAGGATTTTATCAGGATGGGTAGAGTTAAAATTTCACCGGTTCCTTCTTTTGTCGTGCTAAACGCCGCATCTTTCCAGACCTTATATCACATCATTATTACTGTAGACAGATCCCAGGGGCCCTCTAAGGAAAAATCATGCCAGAGAATAGGAAATGATTCTTTTGTCTTTTATCATGTATGTAACTCCTTGGAGAGTACAGAAAATATGTTTTTAGAATACTTCTAATTTGGTGGTACTTTCAAAATCTGATTTAGTCAGACCATTTAAAAAATTGTATAAATCAATAGCAATTACCTGCTTCTAAATTGAATCATAACCCCCAAAGAAATATGCTATTAAAACATTACAGACTCCAGGTCATATGCAATATACTTCCACCCTCATTAAAATAAATAATAAAAGAGGGAAAAAAAGAATAAAAATAAAAAGGAAAATATCATTTTGTTTTATTATTTTAATTTAATCTCCAAGTAGAAACAGTGACCTTTTTTTTTTATACTTCAATATATAAAATCTGGACAATGTTCAATGTTAGCAAAATTATTCTTAATTTTAAGATAGTATAATTTATCAATTAAGTTAATGTGTTTATTGCCATCAGGAGGTTGTAAAGAATCTTATTTTTGGATCATAACAAACACTTCTGTAACTTTCTAGAAAATGGCCTGGATTCTGCTTTTTTATTACAGTAAGAGAACCTTTGATGTCTTGATGTGTTAATGAAGGATAGCTATATCAGAACATTTTAAAATCTAATTCTCCCTACTTGTTAATTTGGCCCATTTTCAATCATACATTTTTGAAAATTAAAATTATTTTACATAAAAATATAAATTTATATAGTATGTGATATATAATTTTAATGCATGTAGACTCCTTAGACTCCTTATTCATTGTAACTTTTTAATTTACTTGATTTATATGTGTGCCCCTGGGTTAATATTCTAATCATTTTCAAGCTCAATTAAACTTTGTCTTGATAAATTTTTGCTTTTGACAAATTAAATTTGTCAATTTTTATAACTTGACAACTTCTATTATTAGAATAGAATAACAGTTTCTTAATGTATTGGTCACTCATTTGATATATATACAAAATGTAAATATCCACCCTTTCATTCATTTTCCCCAAACAAGACACTGCTAATTCAGCAGGTGGACTGAGGACAAGAATCTTTTCAAGTTTGCACAAGAACATTTAAAAATGTTACTTTTTCTAAAGTGTTCAGTTATTTTGAATATACCTTTTCTAAGCCATTTGCTTTTATTGTTGTTGTTTTTTTTGTTTTTTAATAGGTTATTGCTCCTTAACCCTGTTTGAATATACTTTCACTCGGTTATTTTATTTTAAAGAGATGGTTTTATTATAACTTCTTAGCACAGATTGTATTATATTCTCATCATTATTTTTTTGTTCTTTTTACATGAACAAATGCAAATCATTATTTTTTACATGAACAAATGTAAATCATTATTATTTTTTGTTCTTTTTACATGAACAAAATACATAACAGTACAGTATATTTTGACTTAGCATGGAGTACATCTAATTCTAATTAGGATTCCAAACTTGTGATTGTGCAGAATGTTGAGATTCACACATGTACATAGGAAAGTTAAATCAGATTCATCCCACTGTCTTTCTTATTATTGTCCCCCTGTCCTTCCCTTCATTCCCCTTGTCTAATCCACTGAACTTCTATTCTTCCCATAGCCCTCCTTTGTTGTGTGTTCAGATCCACATATCAGAGAGGACATCTGACCTTTGTTTTTTGGGGATTGGCTTATTTTGCTTAGCATAATATTTTGCTAGTATAAACAACACCAAGTTTATGCACCCAGAAATGTCTGTAGATTAGGAGTCAAAGAACTTGTCTGGCATTACTAACATGTGATCCCCATTCTGTGGAGTTGTGGCAAGAGCCAAAGGTTATGAAAAAAGTTTGGAATATTATCAGCATAGTGGGGCAATGGTTAAGGAGCCCTGAATCACTGGATCAGGAAAAGGTAAAACTTAGACAGGGAACATGTTGAGAAGATGTGGTCTCCCACACATCAAAATTGGAGAAGCCTGAAGTAAAAGTCAGGGAATATGAGCCAAAGCGTCCAGAGTCTAGAGCTGATGAATATGAAGAACAGTTTTCTTTGGTATTAGAGTAGCCCTCTGGGTTGGTTTGTATGGCTGTTACCCAGTTGTTCTAGAACTCATTACTCACGACTGGAAAGTCTTTTTAAGGATCTCATTTAATCTACTTCTCTGTTTTACATGACAAATTTCTAGGTGGAAGTGAGATCACAAGACAAAGAACAGAGCAGTTGAATTTTGCATCGACCATGTCTGCTGAGCAAGAATGGTAAAAGTACTCACGTTCTACAAAGTAAGAGCTGGCATCAATCTTCCAGATGATCTGGCCCCGATGAGAACCATTGACTCCACGGTTCTTATAGTCCAGAAAGTTTTCAGACAAGACTTCATCTATATTCACACAAAAAAAGTAGAGCAGAGAAACATATCAGTCAATAGCTTATTTAGAGGGGGGAAAATAAAAAGAAAAAAAGGGTAAAGGATGTGAATGTCATTCCCAGCTCATAGCAGAAAACAACACCCGGAATCATAGAATCAGAGAGCTGGAAGCATGCTAAGACACCATCAGGACCAATCTCTTTTTAATGCAGGAATCTTTTCCCCACCCAACATTCCTGGAAATGATCACATAGCTGGTTCTTCAACTTTGCTGGAAATAGAGAAATAATCACAGTTCATTGCATTTTGAATGGCTCGCATATGTATGAAAACATATATGAAAGTCTTCCTCCAAGAGTAAGCAGGTGGTATCACTATACACTATACTATAGAGCAATAGTAACAAAAACAGCATGGTATTGGCACCAAAACAGAGTGATAGACCAGTGGTACAGAATAGAAAACACAGAGACTAACCCACATAATTACAGTTATCTTATATTAGACAAAGGCACCGAAAATTTACATTGGAGAAAAGATAGCCTCTTCAACAAATGGTACTGGGAAAACTGGAAATCCATATGTAATAAAACAAAATTACCCCTATCTCTCACCATTCGCAAAACCCAACTCAAAGTGGATCAAGGACCTAGGAATTACACTAGAGACCCTGTACCTAATAGAAGAAAAAGTAGGCCTAAATCTTCGTCATGTCAGATTAGGCCCTGACTTCCTTAATAAGATTCCTATAGCACAAGAATTAAAATCAAGAATCAATAAATGGCATGGATTCAAACTAAAAGCTTCTTCTTAGCAACAGAAATTATCAGTGAGGTGAATAGAGAGCCTACAGAATGGGAGCAAATTTTTACTACACACACATCAGATAGAGCACTGATCTTTAGGATATATAAAGAACTCAAAATCTTAACACCAAAACAAAACAAAACAAACAAACAAACAAAAAACCCCAAACAAATAGTCCAATCAATAAATGGGCTAAGGAACTGAACAGACTTTTCTCAGAGCATGATATGCAGTCAATCAACAAATTTATGAAAAAATTTTCAACATCTCTGGCAATTAGAGAAATGCAAATCAAAATTATTCTAAGAGTTCACCTCATTCTAGTCAGAATAGCAGCTATTAAGAATACAAACAATAATAAGTATTGATGAGGATGTGGGGGAAAGGTACACTCATACATTGCTGGTAGGATTATAAATTTGTGTAGCCAATATGGAAAGCAGTATGGAGATTCTTTGGAAAACCAGGTAGATTAAATGACCCAGTTATCCCACTCCTTGGTCTATACCCAAATGACTTAAAAACAACATACTATAGGGGTGCAACCACATCAATGTTTATAGCAGCACAATTCACAATAGCTAAACTGTGGAAACAATTTAGATGCCCTTCAGTGGATGAATGGATAAAGAAACTGTGGTATATATACACAATGGAATATTACTCAGCATTAAAAGAGAATAAAATCATGGCATCTGCAGGTAAATGGATGGAGTTGGAGAATATAATGCTAAATGAAGTAAGCCAAATCCCCCAAAACCAAATGCCAAATGGTTTCTCTGATATTAGGATGCTGATTCATAATGGGGATTGTGGGGTGGGGATCATGGGAGGAATAGATGAACTCTAGATAGGGCAAAGGGGAGGGAGGAAAGGGTGGGGCATGGGAATAGGAAAGGTGGTGGAATGAGATGGAGATCATTACTCTACATGTATGAAGATATGAATGGTGTGACTCTGTTGTGTAACTAGAGATATGAAAAATTGTGCTCTATATGTGTAGTATGAATTGAAATGCATTCTGCTGTCATATATAACAAATTAGAATAGATAAAAAGAAAGTCTTCTTCAAAAAGATTCTACCAGCTAACTCATTTGAGATTGAGAATAAGACATAAAGAAAATGTTTAATCATGCTTTGTATCTTAGTGCCAGTTCTCATTGACCGTATCATCTCTTCTCTGACCTGGGCAGTATAATCATCTGGTATATGAGACTCATCCATGAACTTATTTTCCCATGCCTTCCTGAATTCAAGCATTCACTTATTCATTCAACAGTTAAGATCCAGCTATCTACCAGATGCTGAGGAAGATGCAGGGCCATGGTATTGGGCAAAACCAATATGGTTATAAATTGAAGCTTACAAACAATTAAGAAGACACTTTTAAACAAAAAGCAAAGAAATAAATGTAGTATTGTAACTTGCAATAAGAGATACGAAGAAAGAGAACAGGGTGCTTTGACAAAGTGACAAGGAAGAAGTCCAACAGGGTGGTCAGAGAGCACTGAAGGATGAGAAGAGCTCATGGGTGGAAAATAAAGCTGGGTGTGGGGAGGGCTGAGGTAGGGAAGATGTTACTGCTTGGAGGTACTGGGAGCACCTAATGGAGGTACTGGGAGCACCTAATAAGTGATTGTGGGTTTTCATTTACTGCTCTTTCTTTTCTCATCACATTGCAACCTGCTGATGTCTTGAAGCCCATTGCCCAGAGAGAAATGCCACATTCTTGGAGTGAACTGGTCCTAAAAGACCAAGTTGACTGTCACTTCCTTGGTTTCAGACCCCATATTCTCAGTGCACATGAAGCTAGGGATATGAATTTTACCTTGATTTTATGAGGCTTTTGTAGTTTTCACTTCACTAGAAAGTAATCAACTGAGCTAGCTGGATCTGAGTCTTTGGGAAAACCATGTTTTGAGTGTCCAAATCTGAGACTGAAGACAGTACCAGAGTCAAGGCTCTGCAGAGAGAGAAACAGGTCATGGCTGTCCTTTTTCCTCTTAGGATACCCTGAGGTTTTCACCCTGCATTTGACTGGACTGAGAAAATAGACAATGATAATGTTCAAAAAGGAAAGCTTGAGGATTTTTGTGCCATTTACCAATATTGTCATGTCTACAGCCTCAGGTTCCTCATCTGCAAAGTGAGGGGTGGGTAGTAAAAACTTCAGCCTTTCAAGAGAGGAGTAAATGAGAGTACTGGCAAATGCACCTGTAATCTACTATGTTGATTGCACATTCTGAGCTGCTCCTTCTTTGCAAAGATGACTGGGCAGAGGAGCACCATCTCTGCTTCATTAGCAGCAAGAACTGTTTGTATCCTTTGGAAGATCACTTGTTTGCAAAATTTACCTGTCTTTATATTTACAGTGTGTGCTTACAGCCCTGTTTGGGTTACTAAGATGATTGCATAATATGTCTTTTACAGTAATTGCCTCATTTCTGCAAAAAAAGCATAATATTTTTCTAGCTCCCTGGGTCTTCAGTACAGATATAATGAGTTTCACACCCAGGTAGAAATTTGCCTCATTATGGCAATTCTCCAAGAGGTGCTATATTCCTAAATTTATCCACTCTGATCACCTGAATATTCACCTTAGTAGATATGGTCAGGTGTTCATAAACAGTAACATCTAGAAGAAGAATGTTCATTCATGTATTAGATAATATGCACTGCGTACTTTTTTTCCATTCTTGGTATTGCTAAACCCTGGAGATACACAGGTGAATGAGACATGATCTTTGTTCCCAGGAGTTTCTAATACATTTGGTGATTTGTTTAGGAAAACAGATAATTTCATTGGAATACAGAAAGTATAAAAATGGGTTAAGTATCAAGGAATCCATAGAAGTACAAATGAGAAAAGGAAGGGGGGTGTTGGTGAGAAGAATTGCAAAAAACTGATAAAATGGCCAAATAACACATTTTAAAGAGAAAAATATATACTTTGTTGTACAATTTTTATGCACAACACATTCTAAGGGACTGACACTTTTGGTAAGTATCTGTTTTCCTGGCACAAATAATAACACTGGCAAATGCACGACACATGAAAATAACACATGAAACAAAACAATCTGTATTCTTGATTAGGCCATCTCTGCTAAGAGGTCAACCTCTTCCCTAAAGGTATTTATCACTACCTTAGAAAAGTTTCTTGTCTCTGCTTAGGAATCCAAGTGTATTAGCGTATTCTGTGCTACAGGAAGGAACTGGAAGAGAGAAGAAAACTGGAATAAGTGCTAAGGGCCAAATCGTGGTCTCCACCATAATGAGGAATGTGGTTCCTGGGTGTCTACCTGAGGGCTCTTTGTCCTATGTTCTTCATTAGGGCAGAAATCTCTTTGTGGGAGCAATATTTACAGCCACCCTTGAGGCAGGAGGTTACATCTACCATTGTTATGTGATCTTAGGTGGGTTATTTAATTTTTGTGTCTGAGCTTCTTCACTACAAAATGGAGATAACCTTAGAACCCACCTTAACATTTTTGCTGTATTAAACGAACTATTATAGGCAGCAGTCTCAGAATAGTGTCGGTCATCTAATAAGCACTATTTCTATCTAGAGCCTAGGCTAAAAATAGGGCATCCTATTTCAAATCCCCATGATACTTAATGAGCAAAGCCATTAATAATAGCTTACACCAGTACTATTTAAAATTTAGTCATTGTGCACTTTGTACAGAATACAAAAAAGATGTATTAAGTCCCTCAAAATAAGAATACGTTTGCTGGATGATGTTTATTTCTTCTGTTATGTAACGTCCTGCCTCCTGCTTCTAGTTTATAATAGGGGAAAGATCTTTGTAGGTTAATAAAATTTTAGCCAGAAAGTTCTAGTGAAGCTTACCTAAGAAATGAGGAATGCATTTTCTCCTGATGTATCTTAAAAATGATAACTGTAGCTATGCTTTCCACATCCTAACCTGTAATAAAAGAGTGGGCAACAAAACACTGCTGCCATTAAGAGCAGAATGGGCAAGTGAGCTCATAATCAATTATAAAGGACACTCGATCCATCCCCCAGGTCTCTTAAGCCCATCAGAAGAAGCACAACATGGCTTTGGTTTCTCAGAGTAACTCATGCCTTCTGATAATCAAATCTGGAAAAATCTCCATTCTCCCACTATGACTTTACTAAAATGGTAAGGAGATATGGGGACAGTTTACTTGCCTTTCACCTTTCTAAGCCCATGATGTA